CGCCTAGCGTTCCTCGCCGACAGCAGATCTGACCACGGTTTGCGCTCTCTGTTGGAGACGCTTATCGCTCCATGTGAGCTCTCACAGAACAATTCCGCCTCATTTATGTTCTCGCTTTGCTGGCGCCATATCATCATATTTCACACAATGTGGGGCCGTCCGCCGCTCCAAACGCAACGTGAATGATCTGTACCTCAGTGAGACGTCTCCTCTTCATACAAGTGCCCTGCTGATACTGATCCGGCAACCAACATGATCCGCTACCTGTCAGAACTCTGCATGCGTTCAATGTAATCCTATCGGGGGGAGGGGCATGGGCAGACCAGGGCGGGTTGGTTGGGGTGCTGTCAGGCCATTGGGGGGTTATGGAGAGGAAGCTTAGGCCAGAAGTCTTCAATAAAACACTATGGACCATACCACTGCAGAGAAGGGGGGGGGGGATACTTCAAATCAATACATTGTGTGAGACTGGAGGGTCAGAAAGACATTATTTGGCCAATCATTTGTGAACACCCGACCTTCACATGTATGTGAGCTTTTTGGACATCCCCTTCTAAAGCCATCGCCATTAATGTGGGGTTGGTGTGATGGACTCTAGATAGGGACCATGTTTGGTGTCATGGACTTTATAGTAGACATGTTTGGTGTCATGCACTCTGGACAGGAGCCATGTTTGGTGTCATGTATGATGGATAGGAACCATGTTTGGTTTCACGGACTGTATAGTAGACATGTTTGGTGCCATGCACTGTATAGTAGACATGTTTGGTGCCATGGACTGTATAGTAGACATGTTTGGTGTCATGTATGATGGATAGGAACCATGTTTGGTGCCATGGACTGTATAGTAGACATGTTTGCTGCCACGGACTGTATTGTAGACATGTTTGGTGCCATGGACTGTATAGTAGACATGTTTGGTGCCACGGACTGTATAGTAGACTTGTTAGGTGTCACGGACTGTATAGTAGACATGTTTGGTGCCACGGACTGTATGGTAGACATGTTTGGTGCCATGGACTGTATAGTAGACATGTTTGGTGCCATGGACTGTATAGTAGACATGTTTGGTGCCATGGACTGTAGAGTAGACATGTTTGTTGTTGATAATAACATAACTGATTTCCTGCTGTCTTACCTAACTTGTATCTTCTCCTGGCAGGTCCGGCTCATCTCTTCCCAGCATTCCACAGTCCTTTCCCTATTGACATCCGGCACCAAGAGGGCCGATATCACTACGACGGGCACGGAATCCACGCCATTCACGGGTATGTTACCTGACTCATGATTATTATATCCCAGTGCTGTGTTGTGCTGAATGTTCTCCAACCGACTTGCTCCTGCCACCCCTAGTTCTATCCCGCTCCTAATAACCAGATCCACTTAGAAGTTTGTAAACCTCTGAAGATGCCCATCGGATGGACTTCCTCAATGCACTGACACCATGTCACTCAGCCCTGTGAATATGATCTTCCCGGTTGTCACCACTCTCACAGAGCCGGCCTTCTGAACTACAACTCAACATCTGAACAATGTAACACTATCATTGCTTGCTGGAAGCAATGCATGATGGGATATGTAGAGTTGTGAAATTGAGATTGCATCACATCAAGCTGCAGGCAAAGAGACGCAAAACACTCTGGGAAACCTATCATATTATTATGATACAATGTAATATAATATATCTGAATATTGTTCGGTTTCTTCTCCTCTTTTTCTTCCTGAAAATCAATGAAAACTTGAAATAGAAATTTATCTTTTTCGATGACGCTGCGATTCCGGGCCATTTCTGTTCTTCCTGCGTATTTTTTTTTGTTAACCCCTAAACGCAGGGCCCCTTAATGCAGCTGAATTCTCTGAGGCCCCCCTCCCCCCAGCGCAGCAGAACGCCGTGCTATTTATCAAAGCGTCAGTTGTAGTCGGTGTTTCTTGGGAAAAATAACATGCCCGCTCTTTGGCTCTGATGATTAATGTGATGTGAGAGTGACGTGGAGCCCTCATATATCAAACCCACATCCCGGCTGTCTGCAGGAGCTCAGGTTCCACGCACACCTAATTACACCAGTTCTGCGCAGTAAATGAAGCGCGCTCGAGTGCCCGTGGCAGACATGGGGGCCGCAGGCTGCGACTTGTCTGGGTGTCCTGAACCGTCCTGTGACACAAGGCTGTCCTGGGAGAGGAATTCCTGGAATACGTTTCGTGACCTGCGATTCTGGTGACCGAAGACGACTTTCACGCAGCAGGATTCACTGCGAACAAACGCTGGAAATTGCCACAAATTTACTAAATATTAATATGATACTGTTTATATATCTCTGACATATACCGCAGTGCTGTACAGAGAACACTGAGCCAGCCACATCAGTCTCTGTACAGAGGAGCTTACACTCTAATGTCCCCTCCCCCCACAGTCACATCAGTCTCTGTACAGAGGAGCTTACACTCTAATGTCCCCTCCCCCCACAGTCACATCAGTCTCTGTACAGAGGAGCTTACACTCTAATGTCCCCTCCCCCCACAGTCACATCAGTCTCTGTACAGAGGAGCTTACACTCTAATGTCCCCTCCCCCCACAGTCACATCAGTCTCTGTACAGAGGAGCTTACACTCTAATGTCCCCTCCCCCCACAGTCACATCAGTCTCTGTACAGAGGAGCTTACACTCTAATGTCCCCTCCCCCCACAGTCACATCAGTCTCTGTACAGAGGAGCTTACACTCTAATGTCCCCTCCCCCCACAGTCACATCAGTCTCTGTACAGAGGAGCTTACACTCTAATGTCCCCTCCCCCCACAGTCACATCAGTCTCTGTACAGAGGAGCTTACACTCTAATGTCCCCTCCCCCCACAGTCACATCAGTCTCTGTACAGAGGAGCTTACACTCTAATGTCCCCTCCCCCCACAGTCACATCAGTCTCTGTACAGAGGAGCTTACACTCTAATGTCCCCTCCCCCCACAGTCACATCAGTCTCTGTACAGAGGAGCTTACACTCTAATGTCCCCTCCCCCCACAGTCACATCAGTCTCTGTACAGAGGAGCTTACACTCTAATGTCCCCTCCCCCCACAGCCACATCAGCCTCTGATGTGAACGCCGCTCTACTTTCTTTTGGAAGTGCATGTTTTTTGGCTGTCATGCCCATCCGATGGCTTCAAGTCCCTGACCCAGAGCATGTAAGCAGTATGGGAATTCTGACTCCGCTGGCTGCATGACTGTTCTAGGTCAGCAGCTCCAAACGTATCGAAGCCCTTTGATTGGCACGAGAGCCGGACAAGTAGCATTGTCAGACAGAAGCAGCCTACAGACGGGTATCTGATATTTTAGTACTTTTTAGGACGAGAACCTGTCAGCGCCGCACCGACCGAGGAAATTGTCTGCACTGGTGGGAAGTTGTCTGTGTCACTCCAGATAACTAGTAATCACATACAGCCCAATGTACGACAAATTCCATCCTGTGACAGAGTCATCCCGGGTGCAGAAAATTCAAATGAACCAACGAATTAGTATCCATGAGCTGGTTCAGCGCAGCGATTGGACGGTCTATTACACATGTGTAAAACTCAAGGCCCAGGGGCCGAATCCGGCCCGCCAGGCCATTTCCTAGACTTCTACTTTCAGATCGAGATATTAAAGGAGAACTATGAGGGGGGATGCTTTTCACTCACCTCATAGTTCCAGCCGATCTGTGACAATGAGACTGTCACAGGTCGGCTCAGTAGATCGGGAGGTGAGCGAACACATACCGGAGTTCGCTCACCTCTCGATCCTGTCACGGCTCTCTGCCGTGACAGAGGAGGGGATGGATTCCCCCCTCCCCGCTCCGATCTGCCATCGCTGACTGGCGGAACGGACGGGGGAGGGGGCGGGTACAGCTGGCTCTGCCTCTAGATAGGCAGAGCCAGCTGTCAGTCACGCAGCTGGGCGGATCCCGGCACAATTGTTGGGATCCGCTTCAGCTGCGGCGTCTCAGTATACCGCGAGCTGTAGCTCCCTATATACTGAGCTTAGGGTGACGGGAGGACGCTAGTTTGTGTCCTCCTGTTACCCTAAGGAGAACTATGGGGAAAAGACTTAACCCCCATAGTTCTCTTTTAAGTTATTATTAAAACCAGTGATAATGGAATGCAGAGGCAATTTATGATAAATATTAGATACATTTATATAGTCTTACAGATACCTTTGAGGCAGTGGCGTAACAATCGCCATAGCGACCCAGGCGGCCGCTATGGGGCCCGGGCACAGGGGGGCCCGGCCAGGATATCCCCCTGATGCCGCGCGGGCCGCCTGGGTCGCTATAGCTTCGAACGCGCCGCTGTTTAGATCACTGTCAGGGATCTGTGCAGGGCTGCGTTCTTCTCCACAGCCGCTGCTGAGTCAATGAGAGCCAGCAGCAGCGGTGGAGAAGGCTGGACCCGGCAGGGAAGAAGGAGGCGGGGCCCGGGGGTTAGCAACAGAGGAGGCGGGGCCGGTGACGGAGCAGGAGGCGGGGCCGGTGACGGAGGAGGGAGCGGGCCCGGCGACGGAGGAGGGAAGACGGAGGAAGAAGAGGTGGACAGGTAAGGAGTGTGACCAGCCCACCTGAGGGTGACCCTGCAGGGCCCACCATAGAGAGTCTATGGTGGGCTCTGCAGGGTCACCCTCAGGTGAGCTATGTAGGCTCTTCAAAGGGTGTAACTAGAAATCACAGGGCCCCATACAAAATTTTGCTATGGGGCCCTGTGATTTCTAGTTACGCCCCTGCTTTGAAGGCAACCATAAAGTTGATGCGGCTCACGATTAAATTGAGTTTGACACCCCTGATGTGATATAATGATCCTCGTATGTGTGTGTGTGTGTGTGTACAGTGCTGAATCCAGATGTATATATTTGGGACGCTTCCTGTAGGTTTCAGCCCGCGTGTATTTTTATATAATATTTATGTAACTTATGGGCTGAGCTGACTCTGCGGTTTTACTGTAAAATGAAATGTATGTCGCAGTTATCCTCCGGGACCGCACCGCGCCACCCGCCAGCCCGCAGTACCATCCCTGGGTAGATGTTTGCAGCTTATTGTGTTGTTTTACCTTCAGGAAGTTCAAGGTTCCAATTTGATTCTTTGTTTATATTTTGACTATTTACGTGCGTTATTTTTATGTGGACGGAAAGGCCGAGTTTGTTTTTTTTTATTTTTAAAAAATATTGTGAAATTGCGCAACTTGTAAACCAGCAAATTGGATTGTTGGGGTTGTTAAGGTGCCGAATGAACAGCAACTATGTATAAAGATCTATTGTTTTATTCCTAGAAAAATCACAAAGAACAATAAAATGGTTCCGTTCTATTTGTGTGATATCATATGATTAGCTGAGCAGCAGATCATTCAGGGAGGATACAGAGGTACAGTATATACCGTATACCTTGTATCTGATTTATGTCAAGCAAATGGAACTGAACCGTTTTATTGTTCTTATGTCATTTTATTCTTTGTAGAAATAAAACAATATTTTTTATACATAGTTGTTGATCATTTGGCATCTTAAAGTAGAATTCCGGGGAAAATTATTATTAAAGTGACACTAAACTCAAGAGTTAAATGTTAAAAATCCATCCAAGTCCCTGAACTAAATTAGCCGAGTGATACACAAATAAGATACATTGTTGTTCATCGTTCAGGGACTTGAATTTATTTTTAAGCTTTAACTCCGGAGTTTAGTGTCACTTTAATATGTTTCATCCGGCAACAAGTTATTTAAAGGAGAATTATTAGGTGAGTGATTTTCACTCATCCTCATAATCTGAGCCGACCTGTGCCAATGAAACTGTCACAGGTCGGCTCAGTAGATCGGGAAGTGAGCGAACACATACCGTTGCTCGCTCACTTCTCGATCTATGCGTGCAGAGAGCCGTGACTGTCACTCACGGCTCTCTGCAGGAATTCCCCCCCTCCCCGCTCCGATCCTCCAGCGGTGACTGGCGGAACGGACGGGGGAGGGGGCGGGCACAGCTGGCTCTGCCTCTAGATATGCAGAGCCAGCTGTCACTCACGCAGCTGGGCGGATCCAGACAGAATTGTCGGGATCCGCTTCAGCTGACTGTGGCATCTCAGTATACCGCGAGCTGTAGCTCCCTATATACTGAGCTTTGGGTGACGGGAGGACGCTAGTTTGTGTCCTCCCGTTACCCTTAGGAGAACGATGGGGGAAAACCCTAACTGATGCTGTGAGTAGCTTCTCATTTCTTACACAAGCATATCCTGAGGTCGGGGATAAGATGGAGCTCTGTTTCCGAACAGTCAAATTACTGGCCTGCATCAAGCAAAGAAAACAAGGAAGGAGATTACTGAAACTACTAAAATTGGGGTAAGAAGTATCCAAATCATTATTAAATCCTGGAAGGATAGAGGAGAACCTTCGTCTTCGAGGGAGAAATGTGCTCAGAAAATAATCTTCAATGATCGTGATCGGAGAACACTTAAACATTCGGTGAAATCAAATCGTAAACCAATCAATAGTAGAACCCACAGGAATGTTTTATTGTGAAAGTAAAAGCATTTCCACACACACAATGTGAAGAGAACACAAGGGATCGGGAATAAACCTCTGCGCAGCCTTAAAGTGACATTAAACTCCGGAATTAAAGGAGAACTATGGGGTCAGTGTTTTTCCCCATAGTTCTCCTTAGGGTAACGGGAGGACACAAACTAGCGTCCTCCCGTCACCCTAAGCTCAGTACATCTTTAAAACTACATTGAAGTCCCCTAACTAGTAACAACAATGTATCTTATTTGTGTATCACTCGGCTGTAGATCCTCCAATCATCTCTGACACTGTCCTTCCTTCTGGAGGGGGGGCTACGTCTGTTCCCCATGGTCCTTGTGTGTGTTGTAATGTAGTCACCGCTCCAGGCTCACTCCCGGGATGGACGACAATCAAATTGTAACATATGTGGCCAGCTTATGATCTCCTCCTCATAGCGCGAATCTGGGAAAGCGGGTTTGTGCCATTGGCAGTGAAATAGATTTGTTTTACACACGGCTTGGCTAATGTGTGGGCTGTCTGTCCCACGGAGGGTGTGTGGTCTGGATCTAATCACCACGTTCATGGAACCTGATTTCCGTCCCACGCAGTATAATGCAACAAGACTGCAGACATTGTTGGTAAAGATTTCTGAAGGAAGATGTAGAGTGCCCCTTTAAGCTGGCAGCGTTTCTGGCGCTGTGAGTGTGACGGACGGGATGAAGCTAATATCGGTTTCCATGAAATTCGGTCTGGCTCCAGCTATGTGACTTCACCGCACACCTGCTGACCCTGACAATGACATCACGGTACACCAATGTGATCCAGTGCCAGTTACCACCCTGCCCACAGCTGTCCCTAATGCCAACTGCCAATCCGTCCCCTCCTTCTAATGCCAGGCAGCAGCATCTCTGTGTGAAGACCTCTGATGATGCCAACTGCTTCTTCCCTAGCAATGCCAACTATGACCCTTCTCCTTCTATCGCTTCATCTACTTCTCACGCCATCTGCCCCTCCTCCTCACCACCACCCTCCCATCTACTCCCTTACAGGGGCAACTTACTCACTACAGCTCTATATCTAAGCGGAATGTCAGATACCAACCAATACCATGCCTGGTGACACCTCCGAGGCTGTCCAGCTTGGCTTTTCCCCCCCTGTGGCTACTCCTAATGCCAGCTGCCCTCCTGCTGCTTTTTCCCTGCGGCCTCCCATAGCACTGGAGACCCAGAATAATTTCCCAGCGAGAATTAATTGATCCGATCCCGTATATAATGTTCACAGAATTCAGAAGAGAAGGAATTTTTACACGTTTGTCTTAGAGAGTCTTTGACTGTGGGGGGGAGATTAGAGTGTAAGCTCCTCTGTACAGAGACTGATGTGACTGTGGGGGGGAGGACATTAGAGTGTAAGCTCCTGTGTCCAGAGACTGATGTGACTGTGGAGCGACATTAGAGTGTAAGCTCCTCTGTACAGAGACTGTTGTGACTGTGGGGGGGGGGACATTAGAGTGTAAGCTCCTCTGTACAGAGACTGATGTGACTGTGGGGGGAGGGGACATTAGAGTGTAAGCTCCTCTGTACAGAGACTGATGTGACTGTGGGGGGGAGGTGACATTAGAGTGGAAGCTCCTCTGTACAGAGACTGATGTGACTGGCTCAGTGTTCTCTGTACAGCGCTGCGTTATAGGTCAGAGCTATATACATGTATAATAATAATATCAGAGCCGTATAAAGATAAATGGATTTCTTTTGTTTAGTGATGAATCTGCTTCTCTCCAGCTGTCCCCATTTCTCTATAACTTCCTCTGACTCCAGCTGCTTCCTCTGACTGCTTCTGACACCGCTGACGAGTGTCACCTCCTGTGACCGATGGCTCAGCTCCGGGGAGCGAGGAGCTGACACTTCCCTTACTGAGTCCGCGCAGTGCTAGGTGTGACATCTCAGCCGTTCCAGTCTGTATGATGTGCTTCATAGCATGGCTTGCTGGGACTTGTACTTCCTCGTCACCAGGAGGACGGTAGTTTGCCAAAACCAGATGTATATCTATTGCGCCTTCCCAGCGTGTTTCTGTACATCTATATTCACATCTTATTTTCCTCCCTCTTTTTGCAGCCCCCCAGGACTGAGCGGAAGCCCCGTCATCTCTGACATCTCCCTCATCCGCCTGTCACCGCACCCGGTGAGCGCCACGGATTTCGGCCACGCCCACCATTATGTGAACCCCCACAGGGAGCATTACCTGCGGTCCATCCACGGGAGCCCCACCCTCCCCATGATCTCAGCCGCCAGGGGACTCAGCCCCGCCGAAGGTAAGCCGCCCCCCCCCCTGTACAGGTTATGCTATAGATCGATTATGTGGTCATTTAATATGAACTCCAGGAAAGCAGATGAAATACATATAACGGGAATTGTTTTACCTTGTCAAAGGATTTGTCATTCTGTTCAGGCAGTTTTGTGATCCAGCACCTTGTCAGGTCCTTGACTTGTGCTGCCACATTATAACAGCTTGGTCAAGACCAGTGGCGTAACAATCGCCATAGCGACCCAGGCGGCCGCTATGGGGCCCGGGCACAGGGGGGCCCGGCCAGGCCGCCTGGGTTGGTGGGCTCTGCAGGGTCACTCTCCGGTGGGCTCTGCAAGGGGCATAACTACCAATCACGGGGCCCCTATACAAAATATTGCTATGCGGCCCTGTGATTTCTAGTTACGCCCCTGGTCAAGACACACACCCCCAGCTTGGTGATTGGACAATGGAGGAGCAGCACATTGAGAGTCATCACTCTGCACTCTGCTCTTGTCAGCATGTCCGCTGTCGGCACCTGTGCAGCGCAAGAGGGTCTGATTGGTTCCTAGTCCTTCCCTCCCCTCTTCTAGTCTAAGTGCTGCTCTACAATGTGCTAAAGAAGTCTGGTAGAAAGGCAAATTGAATACATTTAACAATACATTTCATGTTTCTTTTGCAGAACAGCTTTAATTATTCTTTTAGTATAATTTTGAGATATAGCTTTTAATCGCTCCCTTGTCCTGATCTTAGCGATCCGGCAATCTGCTTGTTGTCCTTATAGTCAGACATGAACCGTATACGTTCATAGAGATGGAGGAACATTATAATGCAATTACTTTTACCACTGCTGGGGAAGCTGAGCCCACATACGTGTGGCTGCCAATACTTCCAGACATTACATGGCCAAGGTATGTGGACCCCTTCTAAATGATGGAGTTCAGGGGTCTCCAGTGAAGGTTTCTGGTAATGCTACAGCATACAAAGACATGGTAGACAATTGGGCTCTTCCGGCCTTGTGGTCACAGTTTGGTGAAGACCGTTTTCTGTCCCACCATGACTGTCCCCTGTGTACAAAGCCAGCTCCATAAAGACATGGTGTGACCAGTTTGGTGGAGGAACTCAAGTGTCCTGCACAGAGCCCCGATCTCATCCTACTGACCACCTTTGGGATGAATTGGAGCACCAAAATGTTAGACAGGTCTTCTCATCCAACATCAGTACCTGACCTCACAAATGGGCATTCCCACAGACACCCTCCAAAATCTTGTGGAAGGCCTTCCCAGAAGAGTGGAGGCTGTTTAGCCACAAAGGGTGGTGGGACTCCATATTAATGGCTATGGGTAAGGGGAACGACTCCATATTAATGGCCATGGGTAATGGGGAAGACTCCATATTTATGGCCATGGGTAACGGGGGACGACTCCATATTAATGGCCATGGGTAAGGGGGCAACTCCATATTAATGGCTATGGGTAAGGGGGATGACTCCATATTAATGGCCATGGTTAAGGGGGACGACTCTCCATATTAATGGCCATGGGTAAAGGGGACGACTCCATATTAATGGATATGAGTAAGGGGGACGACTCCATATTAATGGGTAAGGGGGACGACTCCATATTAATGGCCATGGGTAAGAGGGACGACTCCATATTAATGGCCATGGGTAAGAGGGCAACTCCATATTTATGGCCATGGGTAAAGGGGTTGACTCCATATTAATGGCCATGGGTAAGGGGGACAACTCATAATTAATGGCCATGGATAAGGGGGCACCTCCATATTAATGGCCATAGCTAAAGGGGATGACTCCATATTAATGGCCATGGGTAAGGGGGCAACTCCATATTAATGGCTATGAGTAAGGGGGATGACTCCATGTTAATGGTCATGGGTAAAGGGGACGACTCCATATTAATGGCCATGGGTAAGGGGGGCGACTCCATATTAATGGGTAAGGGGGATGACTCCATATTAATGGGTAAGGGGGACGACTCCATATTAATGGCCATGGGTAAGAGGGACGACTCCATATTAATGGCCATGGGTAAGAGGGCAACTCCATATTTATGGCCATGGGTAAAGGGGTTGACTCCATATTAATGGCCATGGGTAAGGGGGACAACTCATAATTAATGGCCATGGATAAGGGGGCACCTCCATATTAATGGCCATAGCTAAAGGGGATGACTCCATATTAATGGCCATGGGTAAGGGGGCAACTCCATATTAATGGCTATGAGTAAGGGGGATGACTCCATGTTAATGGTCATGGGTAAAGGGGACGACTCCATATTAATGGCCATGGGTAAGGGGGGCGACTCCATATTAATGGGTAAGGGGGATGACTCCATATTAATGGGTAAGGGGGACGACTCCATATTAATGGCCATGGGTAAGAGGGACGACTCCATATTAATGGCCATTGGTAAGGGGGACGACTCCATATTAATGGGCATGGGTAAGGGGGACGACTCCATATTAATGGCCATGGTTTTGGAATGGGATGTTCAACAAGCTCATACAGGTGTGATGGTTGGGGGTCCACATAGTGTGGCCGTTTAGTGTATTTACAAACTTTGCACTGAAGGTTTATAAGGGTACGTTCACACTAGATGCAGTGCGTTCCGGCCCGATTCTGGCCAGAACGCACTGCATCGCATTGCGGCGGCTCCCTATTTTGTGGGGCAGGAGGGGGCATAGCGGGCAATTGAAGTGAATGCAAATTGCCGGTCGGAGGGCGTGGCTACGGTGCCATTCACTTCAATGGCCGGCCACGCCCCCTCCAGCCTCACAAAATAGTGAGCCGGCCGCAATGCAGTGCGTTCTGGCCAAAATGGGGCTGGAACGCACTGCATCTGGTGTGAACGTACCCTACAACTCACACCAGAAAGATACAAGAAAGTGTTACTATATTAGAAACAAAGTAACTATTTTTTTAATCCCTAATCCTGTGTTCTGTTTGCTGGAACCCAGTGACACCGGTGGAGGCATAAGGCGCTCTCCATCCCTCTGCCATGTCCCGATTTGCAGGGAACTGACCTGTCTATCCTGGGAACTGGTCCCCTTCCCTCCCCGCTCTCAGCTTTGCACATTTTTCCCTTGAATTAATTTGGACAGAGGCTGACACTATTTATTTTTCCTCCCGGTCCCGCCTGTTCCCCCCTGTCCGCTCTGGGTGTAGTTTTGAGGATTTGCAGCTGTGAGGTGTTCTATAATTGGCCCTGGCACTGCGGAGGGGTTCAGTCAGCCAGACGCCCAGACTTGCTGCATTCAGCAGCTCCATGTGTCTTGTATCAGCATCACCGAGAGTGCTTCAGACATTAGTGAGACTGTTTACATAATGGGCCAAAACCCGAGAGCGCCGAGCGGTAGAGACCCAGCGCTCACTGGCCGCTCGTCGCCGTTTTAACATTAAAGTTTTTCTACAAAAACCTAATAACATTCACAAATATGTCCCCCAAATGAGACACTTCAATTGTTTATCAGTGGCGGCAGCAGATAACTTCCTGTGCTGCACTCTGATCAGTCACACTGTTCCCAGCTCTCTCTTCCTTATCTGTTATGGAGGAGAGGGGGGAGGTGTACTATAGTCCTGTCTTGGATGACGCCGCTGCCCTTTTTCTAGTGCAGTGCATCAGTGTTGTCACCCTGGGACAGGAAGTGTGTTATTGGCAGGGTCATCAGAAGTGTGTTCAGCTGCTCAGCCGCTGCAAAAGTTAGCAAACCCGCCGCTGAAGGCTGTGCTGCAAGTCAGCGCTCAGCACTGCTAACGTAGCACTCGCAGCAGAAGTGAATGTGGGTGCAGAGCGCTGAGTGTGACGGAGAGGTAGGGGCAGAGCACCAGCGGCCATTTTAACTGTGGGCTGAGATTGCAGTCCATCCCGGGAGTGAGCTTGTGGCGGTGACTACTTTACAACACACACAGGGACCATGGGGAACAGACGTAGCCCCCCCCCCTCCAGAAGGAAGGACAGTGTCAGAGATGATTGGAGGATCTACAGCCGAGTGATACACAAATAAGATACATTGTTGTTCATAGGTCAGGGACTTGAATACATTTGTATGAGTTTAGTGTCACTTTAAAATCAATAAATACATGTTTGTTGTTTTTCTTATTGATTTTGATATTTAGTTGTGTAACAATGTTACAAGTGGCAGAATAACTCCCCTTCATGAAGAAATATAAATCGCTGCTCTAGTTGCGAGCCTCGGATGACACAAAACATAAGAATTGGCATTTTTTATATTTTTATTCACGGAGTCCCCATCTCACCCCTAGAACCAGTGGCTGACACTCCCCATCCCCCCTCTCCCTCCCTCCATGAGAAATGCGTAGAGACTCTGTCTAGTTCCCATTCATGAGAAAGCTAAAAATAGCTATGATTGATATCTGGGTATGACCCTGCAGTCCTGCGTCTGATCTCCTCTCATTATCCTCATAAACACTTCCAAATGGAGGTCGGCCTGACATCCTGTAATAGCGTTGTCCCCTTTTATACTTAACGGAATACAGTTGGGGCAAACAGTGCCGGAGGAACACTTGAGAATATTGGTTAACAATAAGCAGCTCCGCTCAATGCCAAACGGCAGCTGCATAAGCCGGTCACATTTTAGGGATGTAAAAATGGAGGTATAATGCAACTCTAGTGGAGACGTTCCCTTCTATAAATGGCATGTAAGGCCACGGAAGTTTTGGAAACTGAACTATAAGAAAAATATTAGGAGAGGAAGAAAGAGGTGGAGAATTAAATTCATTCAAGGGATGAAGGGGGAGGGTTACAATGAAAGGGTAACTGCTTAGGGAGAAAAAAAGATGGCTTAGAGGTGAGCCAGTTGATAAGTATAAGTATAGACCTTGGGGCTTCCACCTAGCCATTCGCTGGACGAGTGCCATTCACATGGCATTCCCACCACTGGATGGAGCCAAGGAGCCAAGGACTTTCTTATGCTCCTCGCCTCCATCTAGTGGAAGGGATCCTGTGCGTATGGCAGTCACCTATAGTGTATAGCTGGCCGGAAGGTTTACAAGAAGGTTTACTCTTATATGTCCAAACACATGTGAAGACCCTTCCTAATGATTTATGGTTCAGGATCCTGTTAATGGTACAAATTACAAAGACATCGTAGACAATTGTGCTATTCCAACCTTGTGGTTTGGTGAAGACCCTTTTTCTGTTCCACCATGACTGTCCCCTGTGTACAAAGCCAGCTCCATAAAGACACGGTGGGACCAGTCTGGTGTGGAGGAACTCGAGTGTCCTGCACAGAGCCCTGACCTCAACCCTACTGAACACCTTTGGGAAGAATTGGAACGCCAATTGGGAGCCGGGTCTTCTCATCCAAGAAGCCTCACCTCACAAATGGGCAAATTCCCACAGACACCCTCCAAAACCTTGAAAAGTCTTCCCTGAAGAGTGGAGCCAGTTCCATAAAGACATGGTGTGACCAGTTTGGTGAAGACCCTTTTCTGCTCCACCATGACTGTCCCCTGTGTACAAAGCCAGCTCCATAAAGACATGGCGTGACCAGTTTGGTGTTGAGGAACTCGAGTGTCCTGCACAGAGCCTAGACCTCAACCCTACTGAACACCTTTGGTATTAATTGGTTGATGGTGATTCAGGTCTTCTCGTCCAACATCAGTACCGGACCTCACCAATGGGACAAATTCCCTCAGACACACTACAAAATCTTGTGGAAAGCCTTAAAAGAGAACTATGGGGTCAAGGCTTTTCCCCATAGTTCTCCTTAGGGTGATGGGAGGACACAAACTAGCGCCCTCCCGTCACCCTAAGCTCAGAATACCACGAGCTACAGCTCGCAGTATACTGAGACGCCGCAGTAAGCTGAAGCGGATCCCGACAATACTGTCTGGATCAGCCCAGCTGCCTGAGTGACAGCTGGCTCTGCCTATCTAGAGGCAGAGCCAGCTGTACCCGCCCCCTCCCCCGTCCGTTCTGCCAGTCAGCGCTGGAGGATCGGAGCGGGGAGAGGGGAATCCAGCCCCTCCCCTGTCACGGCAGAGAGCGAACACATACCGGTGTTCCCTCACCTCCCGATCTACTGAGCCGACCTGTGACAGTCTCATTGTCACAGGTCGGCTAGAACTATGAGGTGAGTGAAAAGCACTCCCCTCCCCCTCATAGTTCTCCTTTAATTATGATGGACATGTCTTTTTTTTTTTATCTGATGATCATTGTCCCTGTCCTGTAACACTGACCCGCTCTCTCTCTCTCTCCTCGCAGTTGCCCACGAGCACTTGAAAGAAAGGGGCATCTTCGGTATTGCGCCACCTCCACCCGGCGTCAACCCCGCCGATTACTATCATCAGATGACCCTCCTAGCCAGTCACCCCAGTCCCTACGGAGAGCTGCTGCTGCAAGGTGGAGCCGTGGGCGCTGGCGGCCATCTTCACGATTACCTGGCGCCTATGGACGGTAAGTGATTGTCTGATAAATGATCTTTTCTGCTGTTCGCTCTTTTTGTGTAAAGCAAGCCGGCCTCAGGCGCTGATTTCCATCAAGCAGATGTCTGAGGCCAGAGTGCATGTGTGTACAGTCCTCCAAGCTGCGCTAACCTCAGACCTGTTAAGGAAAAAAAACGAATCCGTTGGGATTGCGGACCAGCACCTGGAAGAAAATGCAGTATTGCAGAAATACCTTAAAACTGAACTGCAGGCAGAAAAACTTTCATTCAAATATATTCCTCAATGTACCGTATATGTATATGGCTCCCAGATCCGAATGGCATTCGGGTTCAGAATTTCCGAATTGCATTAGGGAATTTGGATCCCGCATGGCATTCCGGTCTGGGAGCATTCTGCCCACTCAGTGTATATAATAATCCGGCCACTCGGTGTATATAATAATCTGGCCACTCTATAATCAGTGTATACTGTATATGGCTCCCATGTTGCCGTCATGAAAATTCGTGTTCAGACCCATTTGGATGCAATAAACCGAAAAACACATCTGATTGGCCAGAAAAGTCACATGCCCGATTCAGTTTCGTTTTTGAATGACGGGATCCGAAATTGGGAAACTGAAGATCTGATTCGGACACATTCGGATGCATTGGGATTCGAAGATCCAGATGTGTCAGAATGTCCGAATTTCAGGAAAATTTGTGCAAATTTTGATTCGGAACGAAACGCACATGTCTATTATCCGGTTCACGCAGACCTGTCCGCTGTGTCCCAGCCGTGATGGATTGGCGGTGACGGCCCTGCGGAGTGACTCGCCTTTTCCTGCAGATCATCCCGGAGATCACCCCTTATTAGAAAGCGAACTTTGCTTGTTTCGTCGAGACCGCGCCGTCACCTCTGGAGATGGATGTTCCCGGCTCTCCCCGTCCCCGGCCGAATGTCCGAATTTTGGAAAATTCATCCGAATTTTGACTCGGAACAAAACAAATCGCATATGTCTACCACTGAGCTAGAGTTTAAAGATGTTTGTATTAGGGTTATAGAGTAATTGTGTGCAAGAACATTCATACCGTTGTCACCAAATATCATTAAAGGAGAACTATGAGGTGAGGGAAAATCAGTCATCCTCATAGTTCGAGCCGACTTGTGACAATGAAACTGTCACAGGTCGGCTTTATAGATTGGGAAGTGAGCGAACACATACCGTTGCTCGCTCACTTCCCGATCATCTCCCTGCCGAGAACAGTGACTGTCACTCACGGCTCCCTGCAGGGATTCCCCCCCTCTCCGCTCCGATCCTCCAGCGCTGACTGGCGGAACGGACGGGGGAGGGGGCGGGTACAGCTGGCACTGCCTCTAGATAGGCAGAGCCAGCTGTCACTCACGGAACCGACAGTAATGTCGGGATCCGTCCCGGCTGCGACGGTCTTAGTATATAGCGAGCTGTAGCTTGCGGAATACTGAGCTTAGGGTCACGGGAGGACGCTAGGGAAAAACACTTACCCCATAGTTCTCTTTTAAGGGTATTATTACAATCATCATTTAAATTAATATGATATTTTCCATATTTATGTTATTTGAGTTGTTATTATTATTATTTTATTGCTACAACTGAAGTATAACTTGTATCCACTGCGCTGGTCCCTTCACTATGGCTGACTATGGCTGACTAGCTCTCCCGCTGCCTGCCCTTGATTTCAGACCACTTTATGTGAAGATCAATGAACACATATTGTCACAGTTGACACTGCCAGCTGCTGCAAAGAGTTAGCTGGCGGGCCCCATTAGAATTACACTATGGGGGCCCCATAATTCGCAGTTCCGCCCCCGGGTACATGACCTTACAATTAACTCTTCCTACCGCCGTTCACAAATGCCGCCAGCAGCTAAGTCAAAACATACCGAGGACTCTGCAAATTCCCATCTGCCTCCAG